TATCAGCGTGGAAATGTTCACTCAGACTTCCTATTGGCTCGTGTGATGTGATGTCAGACAAGGAGAAGCGCAGGTTAGCGATAAAGGGCCAGCGTTTCCCTCAGCTTTGTCTTGTAGGCGTTACGGCGATCAGACGTTCACCGCTGTGACGCTTCAGGGCGTTTAAAGAGAACGTTTGTCCAACCACATTTACGCGTCTCTCTCAGGTCTCCAGTTATTAGCCACGGCCGGCCGGGACCGTCTGATCCACGTCCTGGATGCGGGCAGAGATTACAGCCTGGTTCAGACTCTGGATGAGCACTCGTCCTCCATCACTGCCGTCAGATTTGCTGGTACTGTCTGACCTTTGACCTCTTTTACCCTCTACCCCTTGCTGCTGCAAGTTTGCTGCTAGCGTCTAACCTGTGACGTTCTTCTTCCTGTCTGTCAGCCAATGAGGGGAAGGTGAGGATGATCAGCTGCGGCGCCGATAAGAGCGTCTACTTTCGCACGGCTCAGCAGGTGAGACCGAGGCCCGTGTGAGTACACATTAGTACTTCTGAACATGTTAATAGTACCTGTAGCGGAGTAATAGTACTGCGAGTGTCGTGCTCGTGGCGCCGTCACTGATCCGAGGTCAGCTCTCGCACAGTTGAAGGCAGTTTTCGTTCACTTTTTTCCTTTTTTTTTCGTTCACGTTCATGTTTCCAGGTGAAGTGATGTAAAAAAACTCCTTCTGGTACTTCGTGGTCATGTGGTGCTTCCTCTTCTCTCTGCTCCTCCTCAGACAGGGGAGGGATTGGAGTTCACGCGGACGCATCACGCCGTCAGGAAGACGACGCTGTACGACATGGACGTCGAGCCGACCGGGACGTACGCAGCGGTGGGCTGTCAGGACCGCAGCATCAGGTAACGTCCGACCGATGAAAGGCTCTGACCAACTACAACTCCCATGATGCAGTCTGCCTGCAGGCGTGCAGTCAGTGATCAGCAGAAGCCGTTTCAAAGCTGGAACTGAAAAGTGACCTGCAATCAGCCAATGAGACGCAGGATGAGCCTGGACTTTAATCCACCTTCAGCTCAGATCAGTCAGATTACCCAGCAGCCCGTGGGAGTGCAGGATTAACCTCCTCCTCCTCTCTGGGTTCTTCCTTCCTTCTGTATGTTTACAGCACCTTCCAAAGTATTTCACATTAAAAGCAGCAAACCCAGAGAAAACAAATGACTTTCACATTAAAAGCCCCACTTTTGGGGGAAAGGCTTCATGTATTGATTATCTATCAGTGGGGACGATCCGACGAGTCATGCTGCCCCCTGCTGGTTACAGCTTCAATGTGATTGGCCCAGTAAGCAGCACTGGTGTTTCCTGTTCCTGTGAATGGTTTTGATGGAATTAGTCCAAACGGAAGCGTTTCTCAGCTTCCAGCTGTTTTTCTGAACCTACCTGCGCGTTGAGGATGTAAACACAAACACACACGGGTGTATCACATGTTTGTTTGGATTTAAACCTTTACTGGCGCTCCCACTCACTGCCATGCAAACTTCCGGCAGCTTCCTTCCTGCTTTAAGGTGCGCTGCTGCCACCTTATGGCTGTAAGTGTCATTACATCCAGGAAGTAGTTTTATTTTTCTGGTGAGGTCTGTGGCAGCTGGTCTCCGGTCGCTTCATCCCCTCACTTCCTGTCTGTGGATCATTTTTTGAGTTTGTCTGTAAATACTGCTGCCGATGACGATGATGATGATGGCGGCGTGCTGTGTCTCACCCTGCAGGATCTTTAACATCAGTAACGGGAAACAGAAGAAGCTCTACAAAGGCTCTCAGGGCGAAGACGGGACGCTCATTAAGGTCAGAACGGTGTGGGTACCATGATGGTGTTTCCATGGGAACAGGGACATACAGTAACCGACTCCTCCTGCGTCCTCAGGTGCAGATA